AAAACATATATCAGATTATACCAATTCCCTTGCGTAAATCATTTTGTGATTTTTCCCTTTGACCTCTCACACCTAAACAAGGTTTCATGTGACTTGGCATCTGTCATATCATACAACTCTCCCTTCTGCTCACTGTGGTCCAGGTATCATGACCTCCTTTCTGTCTCCTGGATCCAAAACCCACCTCAGGGACAATGTTGGATGACTCTTTTTCACCTTTGCCAGTTTAAAATTGATAAATGGTATTTAATTTTGTTTTAATTAAAATTTATTTCAATTCCAGTAAGAAAAAAACATTTTTCCATATGTTTATTAGTCAGATGTATCTCTTCTTTTGTGGCTCATGTATTCAAACATTTTAGCAATTATTCTTCTTGTATGTTCATACTGTTTTCTTTTAACTCCTAAGAGTACTTACATATAAAAAAAACTAGCCCTCCATATGCACTATTACATATTCAAATATTTTCTAGTTTATAGACTACCTTTACATTTTATAATTGATATGCAGAAATATTGATTTTTTTATGTTATCAAATCTATTATTTCTTGCTTTTATGGTTGTATTTCTTGTTATAATTGGACAGGTATTCTCTAGTTTAATATTACATAATATTTAATGGTTCTTCAAATAATTTTATAGTTTTGTTTTTATATTTAATTTTTTAATCCATCTATCATTTATTTTAAAGGAAAGCATAAAGTAAAAATTTAATTTTATATTTTTTCAAAGCATCGATCAATTATTTCAGTGCAAGTTTTCAACTAAATTGAAATGCTAATATTCAAATTCCAGGTAATAATACTTAGCTTGGTCTATTGTCTTCTGTTCTGGTATCAATAACAATAATTATTTACATTAAAGATATATTTTTTAAAAAATAACTGGTAATGTTTGGTTATCTTCAAGTGTTTATTATTCCAATAGGTTAAGAATTAATGAGTCAGATTCCAAATGTATATATTTGGCTTGTGATTAAAGTTGCATTAGATTTGACATCTTTAAAATATTGAGCCTTTCTATTTACGTTACACATCACCATTTATTCTAATTTTTTACGCCTTTTACTAGTGTTTTATAGTTTTGCGTTTATAGCTCCTATAATTTTTCTTGTTTATTCTTAGTATTTCAAATTGAAATTTTAAATAGTGTTTCTCATAATTTAAAACTTTATTGCTCACATATTAAAAAGCTATTCATTTGTGCATTTACTGAATGCAACTGATAGTTTTTCAGATGGTTCTCTAGTTTTCTAGAACAAAATGTATATAATACACAAAAAAATGACAGTTTATATTCCTTTCAATAGTTACAATGAATGCATTTTTCTTCACATAACACATTGGCTAAAAGTTTAATAACAAGATTTAATGATTGTTGTAATACACAGTAATTTTTATGTCAGTTTTTCCATAAAATACAAAGTTGCTTGTTTCAGACGGATTTTGTAGTACGACTTAAAGCAGTGATTTTTCAACTAATGGCTAAACAACCATATTAAGAAACATTGATTTAAAGGAAGTATCCTTGTGGTCCAAATTTACTATTTATTCCAAGAATGCAAGCTGAATTTTATTAACTGCATTTCTGTTTTGTACCAAATTAATTATGTTTTTAATCCTTATACCTATTATTTAGATCATTTATATTAATGAATTAGTTTATTTTGAACTATCTCTCTTTACTTGAATAAGACCCACAGTCATTATTTATTTTATTCTAATAAATTACTGGATATCATTTGTTGCTGTTTTATTTAGGATTTTTGCATTTTATTTATATTTGGATGTTGCTTCAGTTTTTGTTTTTTGAGTTCCTTAACAGCTGTTTCAAAAATTGTTTTACGTATGCTTCCTAAAAGTAATTGGAAAGCTTTTCCTGTGCTGTGAATAGATTATACAACATAAAAAGTGATAGCTGAATGATTGAAAGAACATGTCATACATTTATTTGAACCAAATATATTCTTTGAAATAAATCTTTGATAACTATATGTCTTGCTATTATTGGATCTTTCAGTTTTATTTTTCTTTAGCCAATTATAATTTATATTTCTATATATAATTTTTAAATTTCAAAATGACACTATATAGATATGCACATTTTTATATGATTTTAATTTATTTGTTATCTATTATATTTGAATTTTCATTTCTATTTTACATATTTTTATATGATTAAAATATTAGAGATTAAACCAGTATTTCTAAAAAAAATTTAAGTCTACTAATTTCCTACTTTCTAATTCATTAATTTTTGCCTTTGTCTTGCACCAGTTGATTTCATTAGATTTATTAGTTATTTTATTTCTGGTTTCTCATATTGACAGTTTGGTTTCTTTATTTCTATACTTCCTTAATATTATTGTACTTTCTTAAAACATTTAATGTGATGGCATGTTTAGTCATCTCCTTTAATACTCTCAATATTGTTTCTTCCTGAGTATTCTATTGATAAAGTTTTGACCTTCTCTTTGATACAAAAGTTAGTTAGAAAAAGTTTTTCTTTTCCTTTTTTTCCCCATCTTGCAAGAGATTAAGATTTTAAGCTATTATTTTAATCTTTATTTTATTGTGATCATATTCTATATTATTTCTGTTTATTAAAATGTACATACAAAAATCAAGTTGCCTTTATTATATTATTAATATTCTTCATAATTTCTTTATCTTTTTAATGTAATTTAAAGATTAACACTGAAAGAAGTATGTGAATGTCTTCCATTACTATTTTTGTTTCTGTCAATTTCCCCTTATGTTACTTAGGGATTTACTTTATATATTTCTATATTATGTTATCTGGTGTAAAAATTTCCTGGTATTGAGGTCTCGCTGCAGACTGAAGTCTTTACTGATATAAAATGTATTTGTTTGATCAATTTTATGTATTTCATTTGATTTTTATTTTTCTTGTGAATAATTTTGAGGCTCCTGTTTTTGTTTTGTTTTTATTTTAAGATTCATTTAATCCAATATTTAGTTAATTTTTTTCTGGATTTGTTTTAAGTTTTCCTCTGTTACAAAAAAAAGTTAGGAATATATTTTGATCTAGTATCCAATTTTTTTTCTAAATAGTGTCCTTTTTAACAAATATGTATTTTTCTTATAACTGGCAAATTCATCATTTATTACTCCTTTCGCCTTTGTATGACTTTTTTGTTGCTTTGGTTCTCTTACCACTTCATATTTTTCTCTTTTTATATTTTGTTATTTGCTTAACGGTTTCCATCTTTCTTTTTTTTGAAAGGTATATGTCCTCTTTTAAATTCTGCTAGAACAAGCAGTTATATTTACTTCCCATGGTATGCTTATGTCCCATCTCCAGTTTTCTATGGCTATATTTCCAGATTTTAAACCAAGATTTTTATCTGAGAATTCTTAACTGTGATCGTTGGTTAGTTTATGTGTCAATTTGGGTAAGCTACAGTATCCAGTTAGTATTCATTCAAACATTAACATAGGCATTGCTGCAAAGGTATTTTGCAAATATGGTTAACATCTACAATCAGTTAACTTTAAGCAAAGGAGATTATCCTCAATAATGTTGGTAGGTCTGTTTAATCAGTTTCAAGGCCTTAAAAGCAACGTAGAAGTTCATGAAAGAAGAAATTCTACATCAAGACTGTAGCATCATATCCTGTTTAAGACTTCACAGCCTGATGACTTGCTCTGCAAATTTTGAATTTACCAACCCTTATAAGTATGTAAGCCAATTCCTTGAAATGCATCCCTTTTTATGTACTATATACTATATATAACCAATATTACACACACACACACACACACACACACACAGCCTACTAGTTATATATATTTTATATATATATACAAAACCCTGACCAATATATTAACTTTTCAAATTTTATGTAGTTTCCTTTACAGAAACAATTAGAATTTGTCTTATTTTAATAACCATATTTATAATATTACATTTAATTTATTTCAGTGCTTATCTTTAATATATATTTTATATACCTTTATATTATTCTTTAATTTTAGATTCATTTTAATCCCTATATTAGAAAACTTCTTTACATTTTAAAAAATTCTTTCAAAGCAAAGATATCTTTTGTTTTCTTTTACATATGAACAACATCTTAGCAGGATGCCCAATTCTTTAATCAAAATCTTTTTTCCTTAAATAAATAGATATTGCACCACTATCTTTCTATATTTAATAATATAAAAAATTGTAAAACAAGCTTTGTATCCCCTTCTGTTTTTCTTTTGTTTTATCACTTTGGTTTTTTGCCTATGTTGTGAAGATACACAGTAACCATTGTTGTTGATATTGATCTGTTCAAATAAAGTTTAAGTACTCCCAGGTTTGCAATGTGTATTTTAGTTATAGTTTTCATTATTCTTTCTGTTTTAGTTATTCTGGACTCTTATTAAAAAAAAATTACCTATACATACTTTCTAATTTCTGTTCTCTTTTTCTAATACCTTCTCTTTTATTATTTTATTTACTGATCTTGTCTTCTGCTTTCAGGTAGATTCTATCAGTTTGTTCTTCATATTACCTTCATATTCAGTTTGAGGCAATGATGAGGTCATTCTTTACTGCCTCTGATGCATTATTAAATCTGTTACTGCCTTTTAAATTTCATAAGATTCTTCATATGCTTCACCTCACTTCTATTTTATTTTCATCTATCTCTTTACCAGCTATCATTTCAACTCAGACTATTATGGTCTCACCTTATAGTTCATCTATTATCTCATAGAATTAATATTTTTAAAGATTTATTGAGAGCAATAAATGTATTATCTAAAATTTACTCCTAAAATAAATTATATTCCTCCCTTGCCTTTTACTTGTTTTATTCTTCTTCTACTATGTTTCAGAGATTTTAAAAATACCTTCTGGTCCTTTATTTTTCCATTTATCCATCCTTGAATTATAAGTCTTAATCTAAATTTATTTTTATATTTAACCAAACATCAAGCAAAAGCAAATTAAACAAAAAATATATCCTTAACTTTCTATTATTCCTTACCTCTCATTGCCTGAGGCAATGTCAGCTCCAAGATGTGTCCAGGGTTTCTTAGGATAAGCACTGTGAAGCAGAACTTTCCCATAAACCCCTGAAAATAAAAGGAGCAACAGGTGGATACGAAAATCCTTCAGAGGAATTAGGGACACATGAGCAAAACTCATTAGAGAAGATATATTGCAAAATATGTGATATAGAAACTGTATATAAAGATATCTACCTTATCAGAAAAACAAAATTTAAGCATTCTATTTTCGGCAGGTCAAATATATCTCATATGGCTATGAAACTTATTCTCTCAAAAGCTATAGAAAAATGAATGTTACATCGCATCTAGTAATCTAAAAGCTAGGAAAAAGACAACTCTAATAGTTAACTAGTTAGATTTCTACCATCAAGTGACTCCAAACCATTGGCAATTCTGTCGGAAGTTAACTGGTTTTGCTATTTTATATTATACATTAGATTTTTCAAAAAGCAAGGGTAATTTTATTTCCTGAGGAAAGAGATTCGGTGCTATTAGCTTTGTTTTCAGTGGTTGGACCTCATATATATATATATTTTTGTATTACAGTATCAAAGGATAGATCTCTAGCTCCTTTGTTTCAAAATATAATTTATTTCAGATTCATGAATTAAAGTCTTACCAGAAACATGCTTGATGCAGTCCAGTTTTATTCCTTCAGGTCTTTCCACTTACATGTTTTACTACCATTTAAAATCATGTGAAGCACAATTCCTCATATTCTAGTGGTCTAAAAATGTATTGGATGTGAACCCAAGCATTAACAAAATCATGATCATGCACTCCTAATGCATGGATTTTTATTTATTTTTAGATAAATAAACATGTATATGAATATGTTAATATGTGTTTGAATAAAAGTACTAATATTTTCTTCCTGTACCCAAATAATTGTCTGCATACCCCTGGATTGGTGCACCCTATTTTGCTACAAGTCATGAATCTTGAAATCTAAAGTGTCCATACATTAGCAGAAAACATATGAATAAAAGAAACAAGCAACAATAAGATATAAATAACAAACCTTGAGTTTTCATTCAGTGTGAACCAAAATTAAAACCTAACCAACTATTTATGTCAACATCCATAATTTTTCCTATTCTAACTCAAAAAACTTTTAAAGATAATAAAACTAAAATTAGGATTAATATAAATGTTAAAAATACTCTCAGGACCTATCTTGGAATTAATATTTCATAATAATAGTCAGTATGTATATATAAAAGTTTTAGAAGATACCATCATCAAGGTCCTTTAAAAAAATTCATCTTTTCTACTAAGGCAGAGGAGAAACATGAAGTAATTTAGAGAAATTTCCAACAAGGATTTTAACAAAAAAAAAGTTTATTTCCTTAAATTTGAATTATCCAGAAAATCCAATTGACCAGCAAAGCAGATTTCTTGATTATTCCCAACATCAAAGGTTTACTGTAAAGTGACACCTTTTCTTACTTGTTTCAAGGAAGCTATAATATTCAAAGAGATTGAAATCTGTTATTTACTTATATCAAAAAATTTTAAGCATGTAGTGAAACAAATATTTTATTTCTTATTTAATTTAGTGTTAAGAGAAAATTTCAAAAACACTAGTTTGGCCATATGTCTGGAGCTGGAGATCAGGACAGTCATCTTTTTATACTAACAAAATAGTTAATACAATGTGGCGCTCTATAGAACAGAATGGACACCACAGGCAAAAAAAAGATCAAATATTCCATCTAGTTTGTCAACCCCCCAAAAAACTAAAATATTGTTGAACCTCATATGCTTAAAAGATAAAATAAATGGCATGTATGAAAAATCTTTTGGAAACAATAAAGCACTATCTAAGTATTACATGGCAAAGGCCATAGAACTAGGTTACCAAACTTTATACTATCTTAAATAGCTTCTTATATTTATCCCTTAAAATTGAGTTATCGTGTGACTCTTCTTACATCATGGTTATAGAAACTGGCCAGTCACAGTTTCTGTGCTCTCGTGTAGACCAATTTTAAAATAAGATTTGGTATAGTGGCAGTATCAAATGAAGAAACTATCAATAGTAAATATTTCTTAGTAATCTATAGATCTATCAGTTCAAAAAATATATCAATAACCACATAGTATTTACAGCTGATAACATAGACTCTTAGTCCAGATTTTGGCTTCTGGCCAATTTACATATAAATTTAAATTCTGACACTATAAAGCTATGTGGCCTGTTTCATATTGTTCATCATCTCTGAGTCTTAGTCTTGACATCTATAAAATGGACATTGATTATAGGAGAGCTGGTAAATAAAATAATAAATATAAGTTATCTAAAAGAGTGAAACTTAGTAGATGTTCTATGAATGATAACTTCTCTATCACATTTCATTTTTAATAAAAACTATATTATACTCTTACCAATTGTTCCTGGATCGATATAAATTCCATTGAGACGGTCACAAAAGACTCCTTCTGAGGCTCTAAGGAGAATCAGAAGCTTTTGTTCTTTCTTAAAGGGATTTTCTAAAGTACCTGTTTACAAAGAGTAGTAGATCATTTAAGTCAATTTGAAATTAAGAGAGCAAGAAATTAAAATTTGGGGAATGCAAAGTAGATGCTATAAAGTAGACTATATGGAGAAGACTCAATGGTCACATAGATGAAATAAGAAAAGGAGAAAAATGAGATGCAATAGACTTCTCTGAGGGAGTTTAGATAACTGTTCAGCAAATATTTACTTTGGTCTTCATTAAGGCAGAGTATCCTTTCCTGACCAATTAATATTTAGTCAGGTCGTGTGACTTGTTTTGACCAATAAAATTGGGTAGATGATGCTAGTTCTGAGTTGATACCCTAAGTTGCTTAGAAAGTTTTTACCAGATCACTTGCAATGATGTACTCTGCCATGAAAGAATTCCTAAACAGTCTCTAGTGTCTGAATGAAGAGACACGCATAGCAGATCTAAAGAGAACACACAAGCTGGAAGCAATTTCAACTGAGTTTAGCATAAATATTTGTTGTTGTATGACAATGAGGTTTGGAGATTTGTTACATACCATTACTACAGCAAATCCTGGCTGTTACCTTATCTATGGCTGGATCACCAAACTGCTTTATGTACATTTTAGCATTTAAGGCTCACAATGAACCTGAGAAATAAGTATGATTCTTACCTCAATTTTAAATTTCATACATAATGACACTTAGAGATTAAAAAGCTTGTCCAAATTTACCCAACTACTAAGTAACAGAGTCTGAATTTAAATAATGATCTGTTTATGCTGAGTGTTTTATTAAACAAGTTATACGTAAAAGATAGGCTATATATATAACCAATAGGTTACTTTCTAAGTCTAAATTCTTTTAACAGCATAAGGACACAATTCATTCAGGCTATGATACTCAGACATCAGTTGGGAATTACTTTTGACATTATTCCCTTGACATAAACAGAGGAGTTTGGTCACTTTTTATAGTATGAGAATTGTTTGGAGAATCTGCTGAAATAATGGTAGTGAACATGGCCCTAATGAAGGTTATTTTTTTCAAAAAATATATCTTAGCATATAGAAAATATTACAAAGAATTGGTTTTCCAAGAAACATCTGGTGAGAGTCTCCAGACTACACACTGGATCAAACAGGTTCACAAAAGAAATCTGCCATCGAATAAGACTTTCCAGTTTATAAATTCCTGAAAACATAACCAAAAATGAGGTTGCCAACAACAGTATGAAGTAAATGATAAACTTAAAATTGCATCGTTGTCATTTGTTTAAGTGGGTCTTTCAGTTGGCACTTCATATATTCCTGGTTAACCAATAGGTTCAATGTGAATTTACAGCTTGCTACATAATGGCAGCCTTCACAGCCATTAGTCTACAAGAGACTGTTGAAAGTAAGACTCAGAAACATTAAGTAAATCTGCTTAGAATCTGTATAGTAGGTTCATGAGCAAGCAAGGATTAGATCCCACAGCCTGTGTGTTCCCAAAAAAAGGCTAAGGTGCCCTGCTGCTCCATGTAGGTAACTCCAGCCTTCAGCTGAGTGACAAAAATAAAGATGTGCCAAAGTAGAAAGAAAGGAAGCAGTGGAAGTGGAGAATGTTAAGAAAATGTATGTGTGGTGTAGGTCTTATCTTGCAGTTATAAGCCTGTCCAGTAAGCCGTTTTCCAACTGTGATTTCATTTATTTCACAGAAGGTAGTTTAGATTCATGGGGGTTGGGGTGGGGGCGCCTAAACAGATACCAGAGAGGGAAAAGTAGGACAGTTTTTGCCCTAGAGAAATGTATGCAGCATCCCACAGAAGGAGTTCAGCGTTCCTCTAAAATCAGAGATTGAATCAATTATGCAACCCAAAACTGCAGCACATGTGGAGCTTTCACAGAAAGTGTGGGCAAAATTAATCCGCCTGCCGTGATTGTGTGGTATCTGAAAAGACCAGAGTTTGGATTCTTTTTTGTGACGTGGGGGAAGGGAAAGACAGAGGATAAGGATTGAGAAAAAGAAGGCAAGCAAGACCTAAAGAAAGAAAGAAATGCTGTTTTAATATTGAAATGAAACACATCTTAAATTTGTAAAAACTGGTGAGTGGAAAGCTCTAAAGCCTGGTCTCATTTTATTCTTAAATCTAGCGGTCAAAGAAAAGTGAGAAACTCTTACAGGTTGGGCTTTGCCCCTGAATGGGAGTAGCCACCTCTAATAGAAGGCTCTCGGGACAATGCAGTTCCTCTCTGATTTTTCTTTTTAAAGCTGCTTTGAACTGCTATAAACTGTAGCAAAAGGCAATTTCAACCTGGCCAAATTTATATACTCATAATGGAGGGAGAATCATTGTCACTGTGCTGCTAAGACACGCCAGGAATTTACACATACATGATTTCATTTAATTCTCCCAACCCTGTAATGGATAGTGAGGTTCTCAAGAGGAAACCGAGTCAAAGAGAGGTTAGGTAACTTGTCAGAAATTACACAGTTAATAAGTAGTGAAGGTGGGCTTAGACTTAATAAGCACCATCCAAGAACATGTGGGTATAGAGGAATGGGAACTAAGTAAATGATGGTGGGCAATGGAGGAGAAATAGAATATGTTCTAGAAGCTAAAATCACCTAAAGAGTTAGAAAAACCTAAGTTCTAGAATACAAAAGATAACTGTTATAATGATTTAAGGACTATGGTGCAAATGGATTCCATGAACTTCAAAAGTAATAAAAGAAAAAGGAACAAGAACCATATTTTATTAACTAAATATCTTTGATAGAACCAAGTATAAACCTAGTTTACATTTAAGCCCTCTCTCTCAACATGACTCCCCACACCTCATAACTAAGCCAACCTACCCATATTGAATTACTCACTGTCCCCTCCACTCTCTCCTCTGTGTGCATGAGATGTCCCGGGCTTTTACATCCCTCACCTTCATCCTGTCTAAACCCTAATCATCCCTCAAAACTTGGATCCACGGTAATTTATTTCAAAAAATCTTCTATGATCTTGAATTACATGCCCCCTTATGTGCATAAAAACGTCCATGCCTCTTGCAATAATTTTCCTTCAAGTAACTTGTGCTGAAGAAATAATGCGGAATGTGGATAAAGTGCATCCCTGCAGTGTTATCTATTTATAATAGAGAATATTTGAAACGCTTTGAAATAGCACACAATTAGAAACAACTTTGTCCATTTAGAATCTTTTTCTTTTTCCCTAGTTTCCTTGACAAGCTCAATAGCTGAGCCACATAAGTCCCTAAAGGAGCCCAAACCTACTTCAGAGGCCACACCCTCTGAGATCCTTTCTTGTCAACTTCCAAGTCTGGGTTAAGCGGCTCTCTAATGGGTAATCACATCAAACTGTGTTTTACCTCAATACTTTTAAACTGTACTGTAATTGCCTTTTACCTGACTGCCTCCTTCTATTTACAGTGAGCTAATGGAGAGAAGTAAATGTATTGCAGCAGAATTCATTTCTATTTTATCCCAGAAGTGGTGAACAAGGTAATTTTAACCAATCCTCTTGCAAAAAACAATTAGAAATAAAGAGAAATACTGCACAGTAAAAAAGACTCATTTCACCAATTTATAATCGTTTTAAGCATGGATGTGCCTAGTGTTATACTTCAGAAAAAATAAAGCAAAAATTGACATAATTTCAATGAAAAATAGATATATCTATAATAACTGGCAAAGAAAACACAACTGCTTGTAAAATAAACAAGAAAATAGCAAGAATATAGCTAAATGAATAATACAATTAGCAAACTTGACATAATGCATATGTGGAAAACTGGTCTCATAAAGGAGACATGTTCTGTTCAAGCATGCACAAGACATTCATAGATATTGATCATATGATGACCCTAAAACTTAATGATCACATGATAACCCTAAAGTTTAACAAATTTAAAAGAACTGGGATCACATAGCATATATTTGTTGATCATTGTTTACTCGAAGTGTACAATTCATACTGGGAAAAGTTTATGAAATGAACTATTGTAAAATAAAAATTTTCCAATTATCTATAAATACCATTAAGAGAGTAAAAAAGCAAGCCACAGGGTGGGAAAAGTTATTTGCAATACACATAACCAATAAAAGGTACATTCCAAAATATATAAATGACTTCAATAAATCAATATAAGACAGATAATCATAGAGCAAGAGAATAGCTACTTCACAAAACAATATAAAATAGAAAATAATTATTTTAAAAGTACTCAATCAGATCAGAAATTAGAGAAATGTGAATTAAAGCAATGAGATACCATTATATACCCACTAGGATTTATGGTGTTTAATCGAGCTGTTATTTTTTTATTTTATAAACTTTTCTGTACACATGTGTCATATTTCACAATAAATAAAAATTTATTAACAGATTATTATTTTTCAGGCACTCATGAATAGGTATTTGCTGATCAAAAGAATGGAAACTGACCAAAATCATATTTTTTTTTCTGTTTCTCCATGCCATTAACTTTTCTACAGCTTTATTGAAGTATAATTGATATATGAATCTTGACATTTCCTAAATATCATGATTGCACATGAAACATAGGGTGAGAAATTACCTCCCCCTAAAAAAATAATTTTACATATTTTATTCTGTCCTCAGAGGTAGGTTATATGGTGATGACTTTGGAAGTTGAGCTTCTAACTGGAATACAGCTACTCTTCTCATGTGTTGTTCTAGCTATTTTCTTCACAGCAGAGCCTCCAGAATGTTCTGACATAATAGGCCTAAGCTGGCAAACAGTGCCGAACCAATTAAATTGTGAAGCATATTTTATTCTGAATTAGCTTTTAATTCACAGTCTGTTTTTGATACACTTATCCCTAAAACATTCTTCCCCCAATAGAACCGATCCCACATGAAAACGAAAAGATGGAAGATGTTTTAGCCCAATGAAGTATGAATCTGTTACAATAAGAATAATCAGTTGGTATTATTAAATAATAATGTCTAACCCCTCAGGGAGTGATTTTATTCAGGCTGACAAATTTTTATCATTAGCGAGGTGTCTTAATTTAT